CAGATACACTTACCTGATCCTTGGTCCTGCCATGATCAGCGCTCTCCTTTCTGGCTGTGGAATGCCTCTCGGCGTCCTCAATGCAAATCAATGGTCCTGCATTAGATATGATGATGTCAGAGGTCCTTAGACCATGGGAGCCTGGGGAAGAAGAGGCTATGAGGACTGGTCTATAATGGCATCCACCCAGCGTATGGCTGGATGGAAAATGTATAAATCGGCCCATTTGTCTCTTGGGTGTGCCATATGTGGGAAATCCCTGGGGCAGTTGCCAGCTTTACCTAACTAATGAGACCATCGCACAGCCAAAGGAAGGTGTCACTCTGCAGAATGTGGAGAAAACTATAACTGGCAATAAGCTAATCAGGGCCCTGACTGCCAAATTCGATTCACTGGGCAAATGGGTAAAGTGCTACACGTGAGGTAATTGCAGAGCTCTCCATCAGTTCCCAAGAAACCCCCCCACGATGGCAAGTTAGCCAATGGGCCAATACATGATGGTGTTATGTATGATGCTCTATGATCATGATCATCACCAAGATTACAGTATTTAGGTTTTAGCCTTAATATGATGGATCCTCAGGATTTCTGATGGACCGGTACTTGACCATAGAGCTGGCGGTCAAGGGTTCCTGACGATATGGAATAGACTGCTAAGGGGTCCAAAGAACCCCTTTACCAAATCAGAAATGTACAAAGTCAGCCTCTATGAGGATTATGTGTGCACACAAGTAGTTGAGTTATATGAAATCAGGAACATATTAAATTGCTGATCCCATGCACACCGATCAAGTAAGCATCTACATGTAATCCTATTTCTTTCTCATTTCCTATTTCCAGAACCATTTTATTGGACATTTGCAAAGCCCTGCCATTCTCACTTGGTATGTCAAAGCCCCATGCTGTACCTGCATTAGAACGGTTTAAATCTAATAAGAAATCCATGATGAATTGCTTCATTTTTGAACACAAGCTATGTTATATAGGAGGGTGAGGGGTCACACTGATTAGACACTGAAGAGATTGTGGAACAACAAGAAAAAACATAAGACTTCAATATATATATATATACTATATAGTGTATTAATGCCAATTTTACCACAGAAAAGGCAGAGTTTTAATTTAAGGAAACTGGGTCAATGGCTTTTCTAACAAGTTCCCGTGCCCCCAATATTACCCAGCTGCAAGAAAAGTGAGGGAGAGAGGGATCAATGCTGAGACTGGGGTGATCGATAACAGTTATCGAAGGCTGCGTATATGAGACATGAACAATGCTAAATGGAGACTTTATAGCTGGATGGATGTTTTCAGTAGTACTCTGTCACAAAGAAATCAGCCTTTCCAAATCTCCCATCCCTGCCAAAATAGGGCAACATTGCCACCTGCTGTACAACTACATACATTTCACATTGCGCACATTGTAAAAAAAAAAAAAAAAAGACAATTTTCTTATTTTAATGTTCTACAAATAACTAATTCCAATTTCTATTCACATTAATCGTCACACTTTCTGTCTTTTGCCAAATATGAGGGACATTAGCATTATAATTCACTTTTGAGGTGGAAGGATAGTTGGAAAACAGACAGGATGGAATGATAAGAAAAGAACATGAGACTTCTTCTAGAGTACGTAAATGATAATGAGTAGACGTGCAGTTCGTTTAGTTCCGAATCAAAATCTGTACGAAGTTTCCGGAATTCGGACACGTGAATTTCTGAATCCCAATGCATCTGAATGTGTCCAATTTTCCGAATGTGACTTTTCTAGCCAATCAGATGTGTTTTTCGGCTTAATGCATCCGAATGAGCCTGAATACGAATTTTCGTTACAGCAACACGAAATTTCCTTACAGCAAATATATATGCAATATAATACTAAAGCTGAGGCTCCTAGACCCGAATGGCATTTGGGATCCGAATTGCATTCCGGAGCTCCCAAATGCCATTCAGGTCTGGGAGCCTCAGCTTTAGTAATATATGTATATGGCTTCCAGCCCCGAATGGCATTCCGGATCCGAATTTCCGATATGCAATCAGGAGCTCCCGAATGCCATTTGGGTCTGGGAGCCATATACATATATTACTAAAGCTGAGGCTCCCAGACCCGAATGGCATTTGGGAGCTCCCGAATGCAGTACAGAAATTTAGATCCCGAATGCCATTCGGTTCTAGGAGCCTCAGCTTTAGTATTATATCTGTATATTGTTTTCTGGTAGTTGTAACAAATATTCATTTGTACCCTTATCCGAAACTAACGAAAATCTGGTTTTCATCCGATACATTGAACCGAATTGAATTTCGGACACGAATCCCGAAATAACAAAATATCCGAACCAACCCGAATTTTTCCGCAGCTTACGTGTCTAATAAGAAGATAAAGAGCTCACCTTTCAGAAAGATTCCCTGCGGTGTAAACAACACTGGGGAAAAATGGAAATAATCGTTTTCTTTTCTTATTGTGCGCACATTTATTCATTATAAGTTGAACTTTGCCTTTAACAGCCATGCAAGTTTTCAGAAGGAAATCACCCATATCGGCCCCCATGTTCCTTTTCTTAAAGTTTTACTTGCAGGGATGATTCCTAATGCTTTGCTCCTTGAATTGTAGTAACTGTGTTTTTACTTGAGTTAGGAAAAGGAGTTTCCAGCTGTGAAGACAAAAGAGAAATGAAGAAGAAAGGAAAGGAAGTAAAAGTTAAACAAAATGAAACTGTAAGTGGTAAGGCCTGAAGTTTTCTTATCATAGCCCACCTGTCTCACAGACCCCTGCTGGGAGGATTTTTTAATAAAGCTGATCCAAGGAGACCAAATTTTTCAAACACTTGTTTGCTCAAAGGTGTGCTCATCAGTTCCTCATAGATCATTATCAGGCTTGGCAGACTTCCTTTTTATATTTTAGATTGTAAGCCCTCAGGGGCAGGGCCCTCCTTACCATCTTGTCTTCAATTGTATTGTGATTATAATGTCTTCTTTATATTGTAAAGCACTGCGCAAACTGTTGGCGCTCTATAAATCCTGTATAATAATAATAAGAAGAAGTGAGGTGCCCATGGAAGATACAATGATATCACTTATCATAACTATATGTATCATACGGTATCTATAATGGAGAGCTGGGACTGTATATCCCATGTATAGTTATTGAGACATGGTGTTGTCTCCAACCATATCCTTGGAACAAGACCTCATGGAAGGAGGCCAGACACTTTAAAATATAAATAAGGAGAGTTTAAGTGACAATATAAAATATCAAAGAGAGTCATGTACACAGGATATAGTAAAATGAACCATACAGGGTATATAGTAAAATAGTGCGGGCCAAAGGTTCACATTGGCTTTCATCATTCTGCTATAAATCCCAATGGAGTCATTTAATGGGAGGTCATGCAGAGCACCATCAATTAATTCATTCAGTCCTAGTAGCCTGGCTCTTCTTGGGGGATCCCTGAAGAATTTAAAAGTAGTCCTGCTAATACTTATGGAAATGAGACCTTTTGATGTAAAACTCTCTGCTCTGGCCCCTCTGGATCACCCAGTGGTAAAAGGTTTGGCTAAATGCTGTCATTGTATATACAGTATAGAGAACACAAATAATCTATGGTTAGTAGAGGTTAGGCCAAGCTGTCCGAAATAGGAAGTCTGGTCAGCTTTGAAAAATAATGTTTGGGTGCACCCCCTCCCGTATGGATGGCACAGGAAACAAACAAGAAAAACCCCTCACAGACTTCCTATCTAATAGACGATCATTTCCAAAGCCAGAGACAATCCCATAGAAGTCTGTGGGAGTGTAATGTACAGGTGCAGCCAAGACTTGCACTGCTGGATGTAAGCAAACAGCAGAACCACGGCTGGCCGTCAGACAGAGGGAGGGTGGGATGGTTAGGTCAGGGTAAAGGGTAAAAAAAAGTTCACTTTGTTTTAAAGTACAAATATCCTTCATATAAATTATATATATTATATTCCATTATATTGCCTTTTCTGTTTCTTGCCCCTCCTACTAGATTGTAAGCTCTCATGAGCAGGCCACATCTAAACCTCCTATATTGAATTGTATCGTAACTGTACTGTCTTCCTTAATTTTGTAAGGTGCAGCACAGACTGTTGGTGCTATACAAAAACAAACTATAAAATAAAGAAGGAATAATAAAGGAAAGAGAAGGTGGCGAAGAAGGCAACGGAGAAGGCAGCAAAAGAAGGAGAAGGAAAAGAACAAGGAGAAGGAGAAAAAGAACAAAGGAGAATAAGAACAAGAAGGAGGAGAAGAAGAACGAGAAGAAGGAAAAGGGGAAGGGAAGAAGGAGAACGAGGAGAAGAACAATGAGGAGAAAAAGGAGGAGGAGGAGAAAAAGGAGAAGGAGGAGAAAAAGGAAACGGAGGAGGAGAACGAGGAAGAGGAGGAGAACGAGAAGGAGGAGAGCGAGAAGAAGGAGAATGAGAAGGTGAAGAAGATCTGGATTAAAAGTACAGTTGTCCTTTAAATTACACTTTAACAAGGAGAGATATGCAGTAAATGATATTCATGCAGGTAATCTTGTCACTGTATCCATATTTTTAGGGCATTTTTTATATTCATTCAAGCTATATTATAAATCTACAGGTGGAAGGTCATATAATTTCCCCGCATATGCACATTCTGCTCCATGGATTGCAGCACAGAGGTTCTGCACCTCTTTCAGTGAATGCCGAGGGCATACTCAGGATGACCGAGTTAAATTGTGACAGTGTTGCTGGGAGAATCCTTCTAAGCTGATGCCACGAAAAGACTGCGATACGGTACATGCTTCCAGTGGCTTGTCCTGTAATTGTTGTTCTTGCAGCAGCAGACATTGCCTGCAATAACTGACAGATAAGGGGTGGCCTGTGGGAACTGGAAGGCCACAAATTATATATTACAGTGAAAAATCATTTAATCAGCAAGCTTTTACAATATGAAATGTCAGAAGCACTTTATAATAAAGGTTACATTAACATAAAATGAATATTGTGTTTTCAGCTCGATGTAGAATACAAAAAATAATAGTACAGTTCTGGGTGGTTTGGCAGAAGTGCCGGTCCTGTTCAATCTCCCGGTGACAGGGGCCCTCATTAAGTGCAGAGTTCGGTATTTTTACACCCCTCCTGTGCCGCGTTTATTATTTGCTCGCCACTGCAGACAGCTGATCTCTTATCCGGCCTAATCCATCCAGCATGGTGTCCAAGGTTTCTTTGCTGAGTTCCATGGTCAGTGTGGACGTCGGCGGGTCAAGCCCACAAAGATCCGGGTCCTCTTGAATCTGACAAAGAAACAGCATGGATGCAAGAACTTTACCGACTCATTTTCAACAGCGGCACAAAATCCCAAATCATGGAACAGAAATGTGGCTCCTCTTTGTACTCGGAGCCATTTTAATAAAGCTGAACTGATGAAAAGCTAAATACATATAAAGGGATCTGTTTTATGTGCCAAAGGATTTGTATTTCTGTCCATCAAGTCCTAGGATTCACACAGCTCTGCCCCACAGCAAGTGGTGACACCATTGGAGGGGTCAAGCAAAACATATGTGTTCCAAGATGGAGACTCTCATAGTTTAGAGTTAGGACCGCACTATCTAGAGGTGCCTTGACGCGGCTGTGCGGCTTTCACATTTTCTGCAGAAGACGCGTATCTAAACCTCTGTTTTTAACCTTAGCGGTGAGACAAGTTTTTTTTTTTGCGTGCTGGCTGGTGAGTGTGCTGGGAATACTTTTTGCTGTTTATACCATTGGAGGGGTGACACCAAAATGACTAGCTGTCATTTTGGTGTCTCCCCCTCTGAAAAGTCGGGCAATCGGTCATGGACAGAGAACCCGACAGTTGCAAGAGAGAGGAGGGGACACGGCGGCATACCTTATCCCGCCTGGTGGACATCCCCTCCTCTCTCTGCCAGTGTCCATCACCAAGATGGCAGGGCAAGCGCGATGATGTCACCTGGTACCCGCTCCGGGTGACACCCAGCCTCGGAACACCCCTGCACACAGCACAGCCCTTTTGGCAGGGGCCCGAGTCTTGATCTTTTATCTGCTGTAGTTCAGTAACATTTACACAACTTGTTCCTCCCCCACAGCCTGTGACTGGACAATGAAAGGAGAAGCAGCACATTAACAAGCTCCTCTCAATTACTTTCCTCTCTCCTCCTATCAGCTTTTTGCACTAAAGCACAACCGACTGGCTCCTTTTCTTGCTTCTCCCTGTCATAGTCTGTGCGCTGCTGTATAATATATTCCAAGAGGCTGATACCAAATCAAAATAAGAAGAAGTCTCCTTTTATTAGTGTGTTCTGTCCCCCAGGGGACAAAGTCTATGTACCACTTTGTCCCACCTCCCTAGGTGCTGTCTAAGCCTAGTTGTGTGGTGGGAAGTGACCCAGCTCACAAATACCCCGTTTGGGTGGAGGTAGTTTTCACCAGTGCAAGTTTAAGGTTTACCCTACTGGGATGTGCTAAGGGGGGAGGCATCCTCAATACTCCAGCTGCACTGGAATGACAAATCCATGATTTTGGGAGTCATGCCTGTGGCTGTCAGAGTCTTGCAATGCCTCATGTGGGTTGTAGTTCCACAACAGCCACATCGCAGTAGCAGGCTGTGGCCGATCATGCGGGCGCTGTACACACAGGAGATGTGGGCAGATCCGGAAGAGCTTGGAGAGCTGTGTCTGCCCAGCTGGCCCAGAGCCTGGTACGGTAATGACTGCTGCGAAGGATCTATGTGAGGGGAATGAGGTGACTGCAGGGTGGGGGTCGTGTCAGATATATTGTCATATCTGTTTTGCCGGCTTCGAGGCCAATCAGCATCGAGCTGGCGAAACAGAATTGAGTCGGCTTCCCGAGCAATCAAGAAGCCGGGCAGTGGGTAATAACACACCACCTGGCTTCCTGTTTGCCTGGGAAGCCGGTTCTATGCTACCGGAAGTATCGGTACTCGATACCGAAAAATCGTTATTGGTGCATCCCGAATTATTACAATTATACTGCTGAATATGCTATAATATATTGTATCAATGATTTGTTACAAACTATTATAACACCCATCAGCTGCACACACACATGCAGGGATACAATGAGATTATAGTGTTCTGAAGACCGAACAGTCCATATCTCTATACAGAAACAAGGAGATTCCCGGTGTCTGGACTCGTCTATAGTGACATCCTCCCAGCTATGAGAGAACAGATGGAGAGTCATAATGGGAGACATACATAATGTATGAAAGCCTTGCATCTCTAAACACTAATGTAATGGAATAGTGTTCGTTACATCCTATGACCAGGCCAGATGAACAGCAATTACTGACACGTCTCACTTGGCAGAGGGCGACACAACGTTCATTAAACCTGTGCATCTACGCATGCAGCTTTATCTGCGACCTTGCCGTGACACTCACACATAACAGCAATCTAAAGTCACTTAAAAATAAGAAGTTTAGTCTGCTTATCTTTTGCCTTCCCTGGTTCCTCCTTTCCCCCCTCATCAACATGCTAATAAAAATTTTAATTAAACCTTGCAGGTTTCATTACATAGCTTATTATAGTCCCAGTGACATCATCACCGGGTCTCTGGCTTCTCTATGGAATGCAGGAAGATCATAGTTGGCGAGAGGGGCCGGCAGGGGGCTGTATATAGCTTCCTGAGAACATCCCAGCACCCTGGCTCAGTACTCCTCTCAAAAGACCTCAGCCCTGCCCCTGATGCAGTGGGAAGGCTCTTAGGAGGCATTATAAAAATATAAAAATACCTTGATGGGTGGATGGCTGTCTGTCTAGAGGAGCGGGTATTCCTAGCTAGGCTACCATTGCATACAGACTGCCCTAGATAAAGCCCACATGTGATCCTCAGTCTCCATTATTGAAAGAAATGAACTGAGGTGCAGGGCAGAGACAGTAAGGCTGGTAAGGAACGGGCAAAATCAGGGGTAGGTAACCTTGGCAATCCAGCTGTGGTGAAACTACACATTCCATCATGCCTCTGTGAGTGATGCTGACGGCTAGAGTGCCAAGATTGCCTACTACTGGGTTACATGATGCTAGATGTCCTGCAGCCAGGAATTGAGGCGCGCTCTATCCGACTTGCTGCAGCTTCTAATGTACATTATGCGAAGCTCACAGTGTGCGGAGAAATCAGAGGAAGCCATTTCAGTGCAGGAGAGGAGCCAATACAACTGTGTAAGACTGAAGGACAGGGCGGAGCTCCGCTTTAAACCTGTACTTCTAGGCATGCAGGTTTACCAGTGACTTTGACTTGACCGATATTCACACATAATAGTCTAGATTCACTTAAAGCTTCATTCATTCCATATATTGGAACGATGAAGAGGATCTAGACTGAAAAAACATGCAGATTTGTTTTAACCCTTTCATGTCCAGAGCTCATCAATACCTAGGTGCACAGGCCACATTTCGCAGCACTGCCATACGTCAGTTTACTTGACATGAAGTCGATGACTAGTTTGCCTACCTAAAAAATAAACAGTTGTTCTTTTCTTCCCTATAAGATGGGTACAGCGTTGCTTAAAGGACAATGTTCTCTAGGTACCAATCTGAAAGTCAAAGAAACATCCCCAGCCGCCCGGGCTGACACCCACCTTCATCTGTAGCAGGCACGTCGGCACAGCCATCCGCGTCATAAAATCTGATGCGGTCTTTATATCCACCCTCCAGTCCAGATCTACAAGGCGAGGCAGCGCGACTGCAGTCAGAGAGGAGAGAGGGGTTAATCCTGGAGGACATGTGGAGCATCATAAAATCCCACAACCAATAATATACATTATTTAGGGCAATATTAAAGCTGAACTCCAGGCAGCTAAATACACAGTTGAAATGCATACAGTATACGAGAGCTGCTCGGTTTTTTTCCATTAAATTCATTTTTCATTACTGCTGGGTGCATCCCTCTCTCACTTTGCTCTCTCCTAATTAGGAGAACTATTAGGAGAGTAAATGTCCTCTCCCTGATACTTCGAGCTGACGTGCAGCATACTGCAGCTGTCACACTTCAGCTCTATAGTTTGAGAACTGAGCGATCACATACCGTTGATCGCTCAGTTCCCGATCTTCTCCCTGCAGAGAGCGGGGACTGTCAAGTCATTGCTCCCCGCTGGAATTCCCCCCTCTCCTCTCTGTTCCTCTAGAAGCTCAAATACATGAACCAAATCAATCCAATAAAAACTGTGTCTTCCTTCTCTATCAGGTATTGGAGGAAGATGGGAAAATGTGCACTTACTGCTCGTGTTCTGAGCTTCGTTCCTCCACGCAGATCTGTAGATGTAACACAGGAAAAGAACACGTAAAACTTAATGCCCATGTGAACCCAAAATCAATTTTTTAGTATGTTTGTCATTGTTCTGCGTTATATATAGTTTACTGAAGCAAAGAATTGTTAATCTGTTGCAACATTTCCTACCTGGAGATCCATGCAGTAACAGCACTTCCTGTTGATGGGTGACAACCAGGGCAGTCCACAGCATTTTTGCTGCCTAAGGTGGGGTGGGCTGCTGTTTTTTTTTTATAGGGAGCAGAAAGTCCATGTACTGAAAACATCCATCTGATCCCCATAATATCACACCATGGCTGACTATAATGCTGGGACTGTACTGCCACATGCACAGCTTGGAGCACTAAAAGTCCCAGAAGGTCAGGTAGCAGCACCAAGGTGATCAGTCACAGGGTCACACCGAGCCATGATGAGCCACAATACACATACACCTATAGGGAAAGACACCACCTACCGCACAGGGACTCCCATGGACCGTATGAACAACTCAGCACCCCATGTATTACTTGTATGGAAGGGCCACCCCAGCCTACAGCCAGCTCCTTGTCCGCGGCACACAGGACAGTCAAGTTGCCAGAAGCTGGGAGGGAAGCCCGTTTGAGCATCCCAAACTGTTAAGAGCTGGTTGGGGAGATATGTATGGTTCTGATCTTCTTGGGACACTCTGGCTAGAAAGGGGGCGGCAGGCATGAACCACTGCTGTCACTATGAGGAGACCTACCCTGTGAAATGCCATGCAGCCATTGCTAGAGTGCATGTTGAGAGGAGCACAATTGAAGGCTTTTCCTGATGGGGACAGCAGTGGACCATGACTGTGTGTGAAATGGCCTTCAACAGGAAACTGAGGCACAGAGTGACAATACATGAGCACGATTGGGAGACAGGAACAGTGAGTTGTCACCCTACAACAGGAAGGATAAGGACCTTCATGGTAGAAGCATTAGCCATTATTTTAATGGAAGCTGCAGATTTTTAAATTACATTAAGAGTATGATGTGAAAGCCCGACTTCATGGAAATGAAATGTCTTCCCTTGCAGTAGGGCGGCCCCCACACTGCATGGGTTAACTGCTTGTTATACCTAACCTGTTTTGCATACCTGATCCACGGCTCACCCAGCAGTTGGCACTCTCCTCTTCTGCACCCTCACTCATAATGCAGGCCTATGGAACCTGCATTGTAAATGATGACATCAGTGTGCCTTAGACCGCCGGAGCGAAGGTGAGAAGAGGCTGCAGGGACCGGTCTAGCAACTCAGAGAGAGCTGGCGGGAGTGTGGATGAGGCACTCAACCCTTGCAGCGAGGGGGCAGCCCCACTGTAAGGGAAAACTTTTTATGTCCCTGGTGTTGGGCTTTGAAGCGTATATGCGTTTGGATTATATACCTATCTTATCTATTGTATTTTGAGGAGAACATACAGGAACAAACACCCGGATAACCTTGAAAAGTAAGCCACACTTACACATTGTCCAGAATAATTTTGGTCAGGAGGTTCTTTAGGTTCTGATGAAAGTCACCCGGGAAGACGGACAGTATCTGCTCGGCGGTTGTCAGGCCTTTGTACACCACATGCTGTGTGAGAGTGTGCAGAGCCTGTACCACCTATAAAGGGAGAACATAACGCAACATGTTGAGACCAATAACACAGTCTACAGAGAATGACAACAATCAGGCAGTCGGGTGGATGGCCACAATATTGTCGGGATCTGTCCCGGCTGCAACGCGCCTCTACACTGTCAGCATATAGTGGCCAATAACCAGCTACATGAGTTTTGGGTCACAGGAGGACATTAATATATGTCCTCTTGTGACCCTAAAGAGAACAATGGCAAAAAAAAGGCTGGGCCATAGTTCTCTTTTAACAAAACCTTTGCTGCATACTAGAGGTGCACCGTCTGTGACAGCACTGTCTCCGCCCCCACACCGCTCTGCCGGACTGTGATAGGCGGCAGAGCGGTGTGGGAGGAGATGCCGGCCGCTCACAGCGCTCTCCACCGCAGCGCTCGGCCGGCTGTCACTTTCTTTTCCCCGCTGGAACAGCGCCCAGCGGGGAGAAAAGAAACAAGGGATGCGCCGCTGTATCGGCCGAAACATGGCTCTTTCGGCATTATGCCAAAGGTGCCATTTCCGGCCGATATGTTTCGGCGGCCGATATATCGGTGCATCCCTACTGCATACGTAACGCCTGTGTCTTTATTCAACCTCACACACTAAAGCTGAATTTGAGGCAGCTGAACTCACAGTTCAAATCAAAATGAAATCTGATTACACTTTATGGTAAAATGTGTGAGGACATCTTACCATCACACCTATACGAGCTTGTTGGACATCCCGTTCCGTCACCATGGCCGGCATTATGAAGTTGGCCCCCCTTTGAAAGCTATAATAGCCTCCGCCCATCTGTTCCATAAGATGTTGGAATGTGCATGTGGGAATGTGTGTCCATTCAGGCAAAAGAGCATTTGTGAGGTACTGTTGTTGGATGAGAACTTACAACTGCTGTTCCACTCCAGCTCACAAATGGTGTTCCATTTCATCCCAAAGGCGCTTAGTAGGGTTGAGGTCAGGGCTCTGTGCAGGCAACTTAAGTTCCTTCACACCAAATTCATCAACCTATGTCTCTATGGAGCTGGCTTTGTGCACAGGGACACAGTCATGTTGAAACAGAAGGGTGTTCAGTAGGGTTGAGGTCGGAGCTCTGTGCAGACAACTTGAGTTCCTCCATACCAATCTCATCACCCCCATGTCTTTATGGAGCTGGCTTTGTGCACAGGGGAACAGTCACGTTGGAATAGAAAAGGGTCTTCCTCAAATGTTGCCACAATTGTCTAAAATATGATGAAACAGTGCCGCCTGCAGGCAGTGCAGAGCAACACGTCATCCCGACTGCAACAAGCCACAAAATGCCAGCACTTTTCAAGTTTCCGAAATTCCATTACTTCATAGCATGTAATGGATAAAAACCACCCCATATCCCATTAAAGTGAACTTTTACCCCCTTTCACTAAAATCACAGACAAGCTGCATGCTGATGTGATTCTCACAAGATCTCAGAGAAAGCCATTTTCCTCCCCTGGGATGATGTGAATGGTCACATGTCCCTGTCACACGTGCCAGAGTTCAACGAACTAAAGGGAGACATATTAATTTGCCCTTAGTAAAAATGGCCGCTGTGAGAAGAATGGAGAGGAAAAGGAAACCAAGGTACACAAAGAATAAAAACCCTGCAGTTATCTAGAAGTATGCGATTGTAGATTGTCATTACTAAACATTCCTAAAGGTGTCTTTGTTGTCATTTCAAAGATATGGGTACAGGTCCTCTTTAAGACATGCATCATCCCTCACCTGTGCTGCTTCTTCTGTCGTAATTGATAGACTGGAGGAAACGCTGTCAGTCAACTGTCCTGAGCCAATGGATGACCTCGGGAAGGAATCTCTGCAAAGCTTCTGAACTACATCCTTCGAGGGAGCCTAGGATACAGAGAACAAACATATATACACAGTTGTTTCACAATAACACAAAATAATATACAATCAGTGTTTTCTTTACAAACAAACACCGAGCACACAGAGCTCCATCCGTGTCTGTTTACTGTTATAATAATAAATAGAAAATACATTTGATAAATATGTTCTTCAAAAAGAGAAACAACTTCCAGAAATAAACTTCTCATCAGTGTATGTACAGTGAATGAATATTAATATATATATATATATATGTGTGTGTGTGTATATATGATCTTCTTGCTATGTCAGTGTATGTACAGATGATCTCAGTGCTGTCAGTGTACACAATGTATCACAGGATATACTTTGTATCATTTCCTCCCGGCTCTCACACTCACCTTTAACAACAGTTGCAGTGCAGTGAACTCACTCTCCTGCAGAGCAGCCATCTTTCCTGTCATGTGACCCTGACCACATGCCCAAGACATGCCCCTCCCCCAGTCGCAGGGGACACTAGGAAATGTAGTTTCGTAGCACTGTGCTGCTCATCATTCAGCCTGCCAGTCATTCTGCTCTCCTGTGCTGTGTGTGGAGTGCAGAGCCGGGATCACCGGGATAATATCCATCATTCCCAAAAAAGATAATAGGCTGAAAACGTCTTCACTTTTATTCACACTAAGTCATATATCATTTGCAACAAATGATTCCATATAAACAGTGCAGTGCTAAAAATACAATTCACAAAAAAGATTTAGGGCTCGTTCACACCAATGCATTGTGTTAACGCACTGCAAAAACGCGGATTACTGAAAACGCACAGCAACAAGTGTACTGACATTCATTTTGAATAGCACTCACGCAACACACATGCATTGAAACGCACAGGAGCGCAAAGGTGTGAACAATGTTTGCGTCGCATTGAGAAAAGTGTGGCATGCAGCTGCTTTGGTACGCTGAGCCCCCTTCAATATGAACGGGCTTCTTAAAGCACAATAAGACCCCGATCACACCTGGGCAGTTTGAAGCGTTTCAACGCTCAATATGAAGAATCCCATCATTTAACATGGTGCCTGTTCACTTCTGAGCGTTGTGTCGTCTGTCGCTTGAAGCTCGACAAGGTACATGAGCTTCTTATAAAGGCAGAATTGAGCATTTCTGGTCCCATAGCTATGAGACGCATGTTTACATGCATTATTCAGGGATAAAGCTTAAAACGCTGGGATGGCCTCTCGTAATCGTTGATAAACATGCACTTTGCTTTGCACTCCAGTCACTGTACCCAAAGCTCAGTCAGACCTCCATATAAGTCACAATGAACCTATGGGGTAAGGGTCACAATGAGCCCTATGGGGGTAAGGGTCACAATGAGCCCTATGGGGTAAGGGTCACAAAGAGCTCTATGGGGGTAGGAGCCACAATGAGCCCTGTGGGGTAAGGGTCAAAATTAGTTCTGTGGGGTAAGGGTCACAATGAGCCCTGTGGGGTAAGGGTCAAAATTAGTTCTGTGGGGTAAGGGTCACAATGAGCCCTGTGGGGTAAGGGTCAAAATTAGTTCTGTGGGGTAAGGGTCACAATGAGCCTCGTGGGGTAAGGGTCAAAATTAGTTCTGTGGGGTAAGAGTCACAATGAGCCCCGTGGGGTAAGGATCACCATGAGCCCTATGGGGTAAGGGTCACCATAAGCACTGCGGGGTAAAGGTCACAATGAGCCCTCTGGGGTAAGGGTTACAATGAACCCTGTGGGGTAAGTGTCACCATGAGCACTGTGGGGTAAGGGTCTCAATGATCACTGTGGGGTAAGGGTCAAGATGAGCCCTATGGGGTAAAATCACCATGAGCCATGTGGGGTAAGGGTCACCATGAGCTCTATGGGGTAAGGATCTCAATGAGCCCTGTGGGGTAAGGATCTCAATGAGCCCTGTAGGGTAAGGGTCACAATGAGCATTATAGGTTAAGGGTCACCATGAGCCCTATGGGGTTTCACCCACATGAAAGTGCATGGTGCAGCAAGGTGCGACGGGGTGCCATTGACAATGAATGGTACCGCAGCCAACCATACAAACCTAGCCGCATTTTGGGGCGCTGCAGCAATGAGCACCAAAACGCGCATCTACGCACGCACAGATGTGAATGGGAGCTAAAGGAATAGCGTCACTTTTATATGTAAAATTGACCAAAGAGAGTTTTATATATTTCCCCGGATTTCCTCCTCCGTTCCTGTCTTTACCGCTCAGCGCCGTTAGAATTATTATCACGCATGACCATCCAGAGTGTTTGGGGCCCAGGAAATCCTCAATGGTTGCCGATCTTTGTAAAGAACTATTAGATCTCCTGTTTCATTTACATTGACCAATCAGATTTCAGCTGTCACATTCCCAGCGCAGGTGACGAAAAGTTTTGGATGCAGCGACACGAGTCCGGTCTCGCCCCGAGCTTTGTGTATTCTACGTGCATGAGATGTCGCGCAGGGCTGGCGTTGAGCGTGAGATTATTCTGGAAATGGTTATGGCCTTCATCGTCCCCCGGAGACCCGGCATAATAGACCATTAATCCCGCTTAATGCTCACGTCCCTCTCATTATACCAGCCGATTGGCAAGTGATATTATAATGCAGCCCGCTGCCACTGCCTGGGTACCGCCAGAGGTACGCACGATTTATTATTGTCAAGATTAAAGTGGACTTTCCAGTTACTTCACAAGTCCGCATGAACGCATTCCTCTGCAACAGTATTCAAAATAAGCTCCAGTCCTGTGCCTAGTAGGGTTGCCACCTGTCCAGGATTCACCCGGACAGTCCGGGTTTTGAATGCTGTGTCCGGGTTTCATGGCAGCAGAAACCCAGACACAAGATGTCAGGCAGACAGGGGCAACCAAAATTAAGATGGGGGCTACTGGCCCCCCTACTGAAAATAGTCTCAACTGTGATATTTACATATGGATCGGTGGCGCTATTTGCATATGAATAAGCTGCGACTCATTCTCCCCAAAAACCATTTCCGTGCGTCGCTAGAGTGTTTTGTTTCGCTGGAAGAAAAGGTGGCAACCCTAGTGCCTAGGCTGAGATGACATCATCAGTCTGCTGCAGGCAAGAGGAAGCATTTCCTCAGTCTCCTTTCTGATGCAAATTGTTGTTATTGCCAGATTCGGACTCAGCAATTCCCTTTCTTGACAGGCAGCTGATTCCTCCCTAAAGGCACAGGGACACACCTCCGGGCGAACCTGCACCTAGGGTTGCCCCCTGTCCAGGATTCACCCGGACAGTCCGGGTTTTGAATGGTGAGTCTGGGTTTCATGGCAGCAGAAACCCGGACACAAGATGTCAGGCAGACGGGGCAACCAAAATAAGATAGTGGCTACTGGCCCCCCACTAAAAATAATTTCGACTGTGATATTTACATATGAATGGGTGGTGCTCTTTACATATGAATAAGCCGCGACTCATTCTCCCAATAAACGTCTGCGCGTCACTAGAGTGTTCGGGTTTCACTTAAAGAAAAGGTTCATCCTTTGCTATATAGGCTCTAAGTTGGTAGCAAAGCTAACGCCGGTAAATCGCAATTGCAAGTCGGCTCGCGGTCCTGAGCTCCCTCCCACGATGGTAGCGCGGCCGAATGTGCAGGACCCTGCAGACAGGGAGCAATTAGGACTCTTTTACTATTTAGTCTGACGCTCTTTTCGATCGCTTATAATTAAAGTAACTCCCTGCGCCTCTGTGTCAGGCAGGGGAACCTTATCGTCTTCATTGTAGTGTTTCATCATTACCAGCAGATTCTTTTCATTCTATACAAAATTTATTTAACCAGTTGACATCCGCGGTGTTAAACCCCCTTCCTGGCCCGGCCATTTTTCAGTATTCAGCGCTGCGGTACTTTGACTGACATTTATTCCGTCATGCAGCGTCCCAGCTGCGTGAGTGACAGCTGGCTCTGCCTATCTAGAGGCAGAGCCAGCTGTACCCGCCCCCTCCCCTGTCCGATCCACCAGTCAGCACTGGCGGATCGGAGTGGGGAGGGGGGAATCCAGCCCCTCCCCTGTCACGGCAGAGAGCCGTGACAGGATCGAGAGGTGAGCGAACGCCGGTATGTGTTCGCTCACCTCCCGATCTACTTAGCCGACCTGTGACAGTCTCATTGTCACAGGTCGGCTAGAACTATGAGGTGAGTGAAAAGCACTCACCTCACAGTTCTCCTTTAAAGGCAACAAAGCTACAAATTTTAGGAGACAGTCCCTGAATATTTAAAAACCATTTTGCGTTTTTTTTCTCTTGGCCAGTTTAAAGTCGATCAATGATTAGGAATTATATATAGTTTAGCAATCCGTGAAATTCCAGGCGGGAATACTGCAGGCGGGAGGGTGTGCCTTTGGCGACATTGGCATGAATGGCAGCACCTTGACCCCTTTCACCCCAGAACGGCTTATGCGATCCAGTGTGTTCCAGGCTCGAACCGTGCCGGAATGCACTGGATATGGTGTGACTGGGCCCTTAGGGTTACCATACTGAAGCACGTAGCGAGGAACTAAGAGCCGATAAAATAGGCGTTGTTATCCTGCATTTATCAGACGCAAGTCAGTGTGGATGACAGCTCTGGGGCCACGCTTGACTTACTTTGCAATTAGGGCTGCCACCTGCATGGGATTCACCCGGACAGTCCGGGTTTTGAAAGCTGTGTCCGGGTTTCATGGCAGCTGAGACCCGGACACATGATGTCAGGCAGACAGGGTCAACCAAAATGAAGATAGGGGCTACTGGCCCCCCACTGAAAATAGTCTTGACTGTGATATTTACATATGAACAAGCCGCGACTCATTCTCCCCAAAAAATGTCAATGCGTCGCTAGAGTGTTCGGGTTTCGCTTAAAGAAAAAGTGGCAACCCTATTTGCAATGCATTTATTTGGGCGCAGCAGTTTCTATCAAGATGCATTTAATGGCAGGCAAAGCAGCCCAAACGCAGACTTTTGAAAAAAAGCACAGGTCTGCATGAGCCCTGGGCAAATCACTTCCATAAGCAGACCTTTCCCCTGAACATGTGAGGTGCTCTCTGGAATTTGGCAGCAGTGTATTACACATACCACAATTCCTACCCAGACTTAATATAGCTTGCTATGAATGTGTTTTAGATTTGTGTTGTATTAAATTGCAGACAACCTTTTCCTGATTTATTATGTTAGCGTTCAAATAGAAGAAGTTTCTGATCTGTGCAACGGGGGGCAGCAGAGCACACAGCAAAGAGAATGAATCATTTCCCACTAGACAATGGTTGATGCAGGAATAGTTACTACTGGAAACAGTGTAGTTTTATTTTCGCCCTGTGTCTGATCTGCTGGTGTAAAAATACTATTTTGTAGAGTTGCAAACTGGCCAAGTACAGAGCATTACAAATATACATGGTGTAGAAACAGAAGTCACATGGGTTGCAATCCCCCAGTAATATGGGGGCCCAGACCTCCAGTCCCCTAAGTAGTAACACTTTATACAGATTGT